GTTAACTTTGTTGAGGCATGCTGAGGGAGCGAGTGAATAAACATTATGCGTAATCGATATTGAGACGCGACGGGGCTTTTTTCAGTGCTTAGTTGACGTGTTTTGAAAACATGATGTGGTATGCGTGTGTGTGTGTGTATGTGTATGTGTGTGTGTGTGTGTGTGTGTGTGTGTGTTGTATGAGTGGAGCGATAAGAAGAAACTTGTCACCCAAAAATCACCATCACCGATCGATTCCCGCCGACGGAACCGATCTACGAAACGCCGACGATGGTTAAGCTCGGCGCTGAAGCAAAATCTTGACCCTAAAGCCGCTCCCGTTCTTATCGATTGTGATATGCGCTATATATAAAAAACCAAGAGAACAGCTCTGACCAAGACGAAGGAAAAAAAAAACTTAGTCAAAAATGAGAGACGTTTTTTTACAACTTCAATAACAACTCTACGTATTTGGGCTTCATAGTTTTTCAGCTTTTGAGATTTACCAAAAAAAAAAAAACAAAATAAAAAAAGACACTCAATAGAATTGTCAAGAAAATTATGTTTATAGTGTACTATGTTAGAAAGTATCTTAGTAAAATTTCTTCTCTTATATGAATCCAAAAATCCCTATGTTTTTTTACTGCTTTTTCGTAGGGTTACGATGTTCCAGATATACCTAGGAGAAATGAGTAGTGCACCGGCCGTATGAGTGGGTTCAACTCCTGTCTGAGGTCGAAGTTTTGCTCACCACTCAATTCTCTTAGGTATATCTGAAACATCATAACACTGCGAAAAAACAGTAGAAATATAAGAATTCCTGGATTCATATAAGTATAATGGCTGCCAGCTTAACTAGGTTTTGAGTTAAATTGCTCACCCGATCGAACCTGTTAAAGGTTGGTGGTTGATAGCTATGATAGAGAGATTTTGAAGAATGAGTGACGGTTGAGCCGTGGTCTCGGTGGTGTAGTGGTAGCACGCGTCTCGGTATGGGTGAAACGTGGATTCAACTCCCATCTGAGGCCAGATTTTTGCTCAGCGGTTGATTTTCAGAGATATTTCTTTTCTTAATAAAATGCCACGCTTTACTTCACAATAATTCCAAAAAAATCTGCATTCTAGAATAAAACTAGTCATTGTGCATAATACATGCCCTTGCGCCCATGATACTCTCGCGACGACTGACACCTATAAGTGCTACAAAGACGTCAGGGTAGTGACCGGTACGGCACTTATAGATGTCATATACTTTGTGGCCATTTAAAATTATATACAGACATTGTTTTATTGAATTTATTGAGTCGATTGGTATTCTGTCCAACACAGTATGCTTTTGTGAGTGTCGTCTATGGGAGCGTGTCCTATTGTTAATTTCTCACTTAATTTTTGATTTTTTCCGAGAACCCATTGCTCACCGAAGACATCACATGTGAACTAAGGAGCGTGCAAAATGAAGAGGCGCAGGAATGTCACTGCCTAAATAAACTGTTATTACGTTCAGAGTGCGGTAACGTTTTGGCAAGTTATTCACTGTTTTCTAATTTTTAATCTCTATGAGGATTTTAAAGTTGTGCGTGGAATGCGAGGATATCAAAACCATAAACAAACATTGTGATGTTCTTTGCACAGCTTGTGCAACTTCAGTGAATGCTACTTGCGTGTGATAGCATAATGGACAACTATTTTTTCTTTCATGCACAAGAGTTTTATGTGCCTAAAAACATATCAGAGAGTATAGGATATCATAGAGCATGCACAAGGTAATGAAAGCACACAAATGTTTTCAGAACGTGGAGAAAAACCGATTTATGGAGCGGAAATCACGATAGAAAGGGGCGTTATTACAAATAAAAAACTGCTCGGCCTGTGACATTCATAGGTGTCATAATGGGCATACTAAAAAATTAAATGTCATTCATTCAGCAGAAAAGCGAAATCAGGCTTCACCATGAAACAGCTGAAGAACAGTGAATGACATTTCTCTAATTTGTGCAAAGAAAGGTTGAGCACATTAGGTAAATTCTACAAATTTCCTGTTCAAGGAATTATGAGTTCATACCAAAGTTCATTCACTAAGATCCTAATTTTTCAATATTTACTGAATGAGTCAGTTTTCCAGAATAATAAATTTTGTGATTATTCATCTAATCAAAACAAAGCTGTGAATTCTGACTTTCATTGAACCTTTTAGTGGAAGATTAATAACGGATAAATATCTCGGCATTGATCAATCCCCGAGGGATGCGTCATGCATTCGTCATTAAATTTTAGCTTCGTTTGAGGTGAATGAATCCATATCTGGCTTTTACAATGACTCGCGGTGGCCTCCCGCTAAACCAAGACAGTGCTGCTTATCCTCGCAAACAAGTCTGAGACCAGTCTGGCACCAATTTACCGACCCCCGAGGTATGGATGGCTTGGTGAGCCATGAGCGCGAGATCGAACCATTGGCCTCGTGTGCGGCGCACAGCACCTCTAGCCACTGCGTCACATGTGCTCTGGATGATCAGCATTCTGTTTTTATTGCTGAGCTGACAGGTGGTTTTCATAATTCTTTACTACGGCTAACCTTTTGGCGATTTCATCTTCATCAGAACCACAATGATTCGCGTCGCGTATCCATAGCATTTGTTCTTGCAATGTTGGTCTTCGTAGTCGTCTCATCGCGATGAATCGAGTAGTGTGGATTACTACACGGATGAAGTAGCATCCACAACGTTGTTTTTTGTGCAAATATAAATAATGATTCATAAAAACTTTGTGTCAGTCTAGGAATAAATAGAGACTATTAATTGGCACACCGAGTCCAATGAAAGTCGAAATGCAAGGTTTGCTTTCTTAAATGTCCGTTAATACTAATCCGACTGCTGCAGGAAGGCTTGTCACTAGAAGCGTAGACAAAAATTGGTTGAACAATCTCTCAAGGACGGTCGTGTATCCTGAAGAACTGGCGAATGACACCGAATCATTGGAGTTCTGTGTATAAGACAATGCTGAGGACGTTATTTAATTCGCGCAATGGGCGTGCTACAGGATCCGTCTCAATGCACCGGCCACGAAGACGTAACATTGCATGAACAGTTGCTGTGAGCACTCAACTGGAATCATTGTGGCTCTGATGAGGACAAAACTGCCAATACGTTAATCTTGATATGGAATTCTAAAAAAAAAAAACTCCTCTCAGCTTAGCAATTAAAAATGTTCATTCATAGAACAACTGCTCTACATCTCTTCTAATGAATCACTCCCTTAGAGGAAATCATGTTTTTGTAAAAGCCTTTTCTGTCACAAAGAAATTTTCCACTAGAATTACAAAAGCTTAGAAATCGATGGTCTCAAAAATGTAGCTGGTTCTCGGAAAGGCCTTCTTGCTGCTCTGGAGCAATGTAAATGAAACAGCTTCACATCCAGCGCATTTCGGAGTGTTTACTTCGTAAATCTCTACTCTTGGACTCCCGGTAACGCAATACATTCGATAGGTTAAATCTCTGGAGTTTTGGAAGTACGCTTGGTTCCCAAGAACACCTTGTTATTGCGCTGTGGCAACCAAAGAATACTGCCTTTCACCTTTGAGGGCACTATCTCTCGTCTCTCAAATCGTGCTACGCACTGCGATCTCAAAGTCACTTCGAAAGGGGCGCAATTTTTGTTATTTAGATGTATATTTTTTTCCTTCCTCATGAAAATTTTCAGGTTTTCCGCATTAGAGTTGTAAAAATTGCTTTCTATCGTTCATTAGGCTTGGCCTTCAATTTCATAATTATATTATAGAAATTTATATTATGAACAAACCAGCTATAGAGCCTCACAGGACAGCAAAATTGCGCGTCAAGTGTGAAACATAATCTTATTTTCGCTGCTATAGCACTATGAAAAGACTTTTTCGAAAAAAGTTGCAGCACTGAAATCCTCCGATTTAAGTTATCGGCGATTAGCTACCAAAAGTTAAGGGTAAGACGTAAAATGCCTCGTATTCAAAAGGTATACAAATGTTTTGCGACAGCGAAATAGTACCCTTTTTTATTTTAGTCACGTATACTGAATATATGTCTCTGCTACGGCGTACATGTCAAGACCGTTGCTCTATTTTCATTTAGCCATCTAATGGCTTGCGCGATATTTCGTGGAATGTTAGAGTAATAAAAACACGTTTGGAATTTTTCAAGTTTTCTGATTATCCAGTCATGAGCAATCATCAATAGATTTTAGATTAATGTGTACAAAGTTAGGTTTTATAGGAACAGATATGTGTAATGCAGATAATGGGCATAATGAATGGCAAAGGATATATGGTTGCTTTTCTTTTCGGTATTTCTTTCGTCGCACAGTTTTGTTGCATTATTTGAACTTGACTATATGATTGAAGATCAGGCAGACAATAGCTTTGCTAGGCATGTATTCTGTAAAAGGAACACTTACGCTTCGGAAAGCTTCATAGTTCGCTAAAGGTCGACAACCAATAAGTGATGTTTCATTGTTATTTGAATTTGATTTTGGTTAATCTTACTAACTGGGTCAACACCAATCGATTCATGGTTGTAACGACCATCCTAATTTTTTTCTTGACATAGTATGTGGAGACTACAGCAACCATTTCTCGGAAAGAACGCCTTTTTCAAAAAGCTATTAGTGACCCTTTAGTGGCTTGTTCAGTGTATATGTAAAGACAGCAGCAATAAGAAAAAGTATGGAATAATAAGGTCCAGGTACTGAATGACGAGTAAGATTATAAGCTGAATGCAATAACTCAATCTTTTTTATGTTCAAAACCAATGATCAGGTCGTAGATAACATCGGTAAAATTGTGCAGATTTCTATGTTTCCCAGTGTAGGATACAAAATTTAAACCTTCACTTGTGTCCGGGATCGGATTTCACTACTTCTGGGAGTCACTATCGCAAGCCGTCAAAAAAATCCGTGTATGCATGCAATGATTTCAATGCGTATCACTTCTCGTCATAATTTCTTAACAGTTTACAGGACACTTTTCCTATGCACTTGTCACTTCAACGTCATAGGAACTGTGTCGGGCTTGATGTGAAAAACGCTGTACTCTGCATTTTACAATGTACACAACTAATTTTGGAATGAATTCGTTCGTGTTCCAACAAAAACTATATTGATAATACTGCGACATCAACGCTGGCAAAGAAATTTTTCTGTTACTCAAGTACAAATGCACGAGTCTCACATTGAATTCTTGCTCCTGTTCCGACATGTGGACTAATTTTTTTCAATGAAAAAGACTTTACTGTTTTCTTTTTGTTTGGAAGTTTGAAGCCACTTTTATGCGTTGTTTCAATTCACAGAGAATGTGGCGATTTTCAAGATATGCAACAACTCGAAAGATTGACTTTCTTGAAACCTCGGCATGTTAATAATATGATAAAATATAATGGGTCTCAGCTGACACCTATCCATAATTTGACCTAGTGATATGGGGACGGGTTCATACGTCACCCTGGCGCTAGCAACATAGGTAGTCCCTGGATTAGATGGTAAGGTGAGTGGTTTTCCCCGAATTATTTATCGCTTGTCAATACCTTTGATTTTTGAATAACTTGTTTTTTTCTCACAATATATAGTCATATAAATAAAGCTACAACTATTAATACGTTCAGACTTTCAAGAAGGCGTATTTGCCGAAACGTCAGCCACAAGCAATCGCGAAAACTCATCGACCGTAAAGAAGAGCAGTCGATTGGGAAAAAAAAAACAATCTCGTGGCTTTGAATAAATATTAGTTTTGTAAGCTTTTCTTCTCATTTTCAAGATATGTTAGGGAAACGGCACAAGTGTGATCTCTGCATAGTTGCAAATTATGGTAAATAAATTAAATTAATAGCTGATTAAATTGCTATATAAGAAACGTGGTTGTCTAATTCAAAGCAATGATCATCATGATTTCTTTGTACCTCTTAAATTATCATTGTTTCAGAAGTACTTATGAAAATCGTCGACAGATATAACGCTAATAATGAGCAATTACAAGAAAAAGTTATCAAAAAAGGATTTGAATTTTCAA